CCTTCACAATTCTACATTTCTTTAGTAAAACACATTTTAAATGAGCATTTGGCCTTCCAGTTAAACCTAATTCTCATTGACCCAGAAGTGGAGAGGAATGGACCACTATCTACCATCTGCCCTAAAGTGGACGACTTAAGTTGTGGATGGCAGGATCTCCTCCAGCCCAGATCGATCCATCTACCTTGGAACCATTATGGGAAAATAAATAAAATTATAAATGAAGGTGCTATACTCTTCTATGTCTGTTATATTAAGTTAGCCCGTATCCCAACAAATCCAGTGAACTTCAACCAAACTTGCCTAGGAACTGCATTTCTTTGAATGTTAATCACATCTATTAAGATGGTCTCAGTCTAATGATGGAGATGCTAATGACTGGGAATGCCTGAGGCCCTGAAAACTTGAGGCAGCCCCATTTCCAGTGAGTCAATACAGGGCTGGACTGGCCTTTGTAGTTCTTATGATTACAGGACACAATTCAGGAATCCAAAGTGGATTGTACTGTCTGTTTCTCCAGTTTACACTCCAGACTTGAGACCTGGCCTCGTGCAATTTTATGTGCTCTTCAAATTAATCCGTATTTTGGCAGGGGGTGGGCAGGGAGATGTGTGAGGAGATCTGATTTAGCCAGGCGTCATTTTCCAAGAGGGATCAGGAAATCTTAATGTTAGTGCCTTTTTCTACCTGGCAAAACTAAAATTATGCTGGTACACAAAGGATCACTTAAGCTCTTGAAAACAAGGGAAAAGGAGCCCCAAGGAAGCAACAGGTAATTAGCAGCCAAAGGCCTCTGAATCTTAGCAGATAAAACTCCCTTTAGTTAGAGGGTGCAGGCATTTTTCTTTCCTCATATGTTTAATTTATAAACTGCTTCTAAAGACACCGAAAAGGTTGGCACTAGTACTAAGCATATTTAAAGCCCTTCTAACTTATCTGTCCCTTCTCTTCACTTTTTTTCTTGTGATCCATATTCATTTCAACCTCCATCTCCTACCCCAGAAACCAGAAGGTTCCAACGTAACTTTGTGTCCATCATCAGCTGAACGTGGTTCATGGATATTCATGAATAAGTTGATTTCAGTTATACAAAATAATGTTGCATTTCTTCACATTCAAGTTTTACCATAAATAATAACCCCGTAATATAAGCAATGAGGAGCCAATGGAAGCTCTGAGTAGGGCAACAGGATCAGATTTGTGTTTTAGAAATAGCATTCTTGAAATTCCTGTATATCAAGAGAATGGATAAATTTCCCTGCAAGTCAGAAAGACGGTATATCACATTAATGTATGAAAAGATTAATAAAAGATATTACTTTTACCAAATTTATGTGGCTCTAATCAAAATTCCAGTAGGGTTATGTCTTAGTGGACTAGACAGTGTCTCTATAGTACATCTGAGAAGACACTCTCAAAAATATGCAAGAACATAGTAAAAAAACAAAAACAAAACCCAACAGCAACAACAAAACAATGGATGGATTTCTTCCTTTCATACATATTACTGAATACCTATTAAGTGATTAAAAAAAAACTTGCACTGCAGAACTGGGTAGATAGGGTCTTTTCCTTCATAGAACATGCAGTCTAATTACCTAGGAGGCATTTTTTGGAGACTGAGTGCTGACTGTGGAAAGAGGGAGACAGAAAAATCAAAGACACTTCCAAGAAAGGCACAGGGCATCATACAAGATGATGATGGTACTGGGCTTAGAAGTTTATGGAAAGTAAACTAAAGGGAACATTCATTCTCTAAGATGAAAGAAAACAGAGAAAGTAAGTGAACGTAGGTTTAGGATTAAATGTACCTGTGTTTTAATCCTATCTCTGCCCATTTGTAGCTTTGTTAGTAGCTAGTTAGCTTCCACAAATGAATTTACTCCCCTAAGCCTCAGTTTCTTTTTCCCTTGTGCAAGTTTCAAAGTAGTTTAAACCTCATGGAATTATTGTGAGGAATAAATATGATGAGGAATGTAAACCACATAGTCAGGTACTGGCAATAAGGAAGGAATGGATGGATGTGTAGCTCCCTAGGTAAACTGAAACGAGAGAAAGGTAAAAATAGACATAAAGGTATATGGTAAAATTTCCAGAATTACAAGGCAAAGGGAAAAAAAAGTGGAGCTAGTTCATCCTGAGGCTTCCCTACTCAGTAAAGAAGAGGTGAAGTTTCCACAAACTTATGGTTTCCAAAGGGGGAGAGGAGGGATAAATTAGGAGTTTGGGATTAGCAGATATAAACTCCTATATACAAAACAAACAGCAAGGTCCTACTGTAGAGCATAGGGAACTATATTCAATAGCTTGTAATAATCTATAATGAAAAAGAATGTGTGTGTGTGTGTGTGTGTATGTGTGTGTGTATAAATGAATCACTATGCTGTTACACTAGAAACTAACAAAACATTGTAAATCAACTATACTTAAATAAAAAAGAAGGTGAAGTTTTCTAAAGTAACGTAGTGGAGGTGTGATCAAATAGTTGAAATTGGACTTAAAAAAAAAGGAAAGGAAATGATATGGGGATGGGTGGCATGGGTAGCAATATGACATTAAATAAGAGGCCTCCTTAGGAGTCACAGAAGGCTTAAGTAAGTAGTAGTGATAGCAGGATTATAGAGTCCACTGAAGGAATTTGTTCTAGCCTAGCTCAACAACCAAGGTCTAGAGCAGGAAAATAGGATGCTGGATTTATCCCAGGTTGGAAGAAAGAGGGAAGAATAGAGAACAGGATGTCAAGAGAATATGGTCATGCCAAGGCGCTAAAAATAAATGCCAGTCTATGGGACTCAGGCTGGGAAGAGAAGACAAGCAGCAAAAGGAGTACTAACGACTCTAGAGAGTTTAAAGTGTGTGAGAGAAATTTTCCAGACAGTGGCAAATTTTCAGGCTTGCCTATATTAAGGTGGATGGAAGGAAACAAATGAAGAAATTGGAAACCTAGGCAATGCAAAGATTATTGCTTGTGGTGCCGGAATGTCTCTGTCTGATGTCAGAAATCAAGCCAGAAAAATAAAATGGATAAACCTTTTGAGAAGTAAGATGGACTAACTGACTTCTGGAGGCAGAGCAGACCAGGAAAATGAATCAGCCTTTCCTTGGTGAAATGTTCACCAGATCCTCTGGAATGAGGTAGGTAATTAATCTGCTTTGCAAATGACATTTGATATTTAGGATGCTAGTCCTTCTTGTTCTCATAATCTACAATCAAAACCCACAAGAACAGAACCTCCAGGTCTGTCCCTGCCTCCTGGAGCATGAAACATCAGAGGAGGTGGTTCAAGAGAGAGGTCAAAAGAGGAAACAGCCCTTAGAGCAATTTCTTGCCTATCTAGTGGTCATGCAACTATTCAAGAAGGCTGCCTCCTCTGCTCAACATGCCCCTGGCCAGACTCTCATGGAACAACAACTTTGCTCAAGGCTAGCTGTGACCTCAGGATGACTACAGAGAGGCTCACATTTTGCAGCGAGCTCATTCAGGTAAACATCTTGTCACCTCCTTAGTCTAAATCAGTGATAGGATCTCTTTGGCTTGCTTCTCTGTCACTAGATTTCCTTTAAGTCTGTTTTCCTCCAACACCGTCCTTTTGTTTCCTTTGCACATGAACATGGGGAAAACTTCACTGCTAATGTAGTTCTCCCTCATTTCTCTACATGCCCACAAGCTGCAATTTGGAGAAGAGACAGAATGAATAGCATATGGCACGAGGAAGCTGGGTAAATGACTTGGAAAGTATCTTCCCTCTGGCCCTAAATATTTCCATCCTTAGAAAAGAAGAGTTTGGCTAAACAAATTAGTTCTTATCAGCCAATCCTCTCAATATCCTATGATGTTCATACTTTTTCTGAGGTTCACACTTCTAAGAGATGTTGAAGCTAGAATTTGAACTTAGATTTCACTAATAGTTAACAGAGGTCATGAAAATCTTATGTACCTACATATGAGTCATAAAAATTATAAAAATCAATTATCCTGATTCATGCATCAGGAAAGATGTACATAATTTTTACGACCTCAGACTAACAATTCCATTTTCAATCCATTCTTTGTATTGGAGTGTATGTAACTGGCTTGGAAGAATAACTTAGGAAATGGAGGACTTCAATGTGGGAGAAACTGGTCCATCCCATGGAATCAAACAACTTGCATTATAAAGTGACAAATCCCTGACAGTGCAGAACAGTCTTTAGTGCGTACCTATTTTCCCAGAATTCCTATAAATTCTTAAAGTGTCCATATTCACTAACATCAATGTCTCAGTTTAGATTATATATTGTAGGAGGAACCTATTTATTCATAAATTACATGATGGGGCCCTGATGAGAGCCCTAATGCTAATTCTTCTTCAAAGCCAAAATTGTGATTGTACAATGGCTTCTGGTAAGAAAAAAACAAAAACAAAAACGTTATTTTAATGTTTTTCCCCCCCTCTTTAGAGCAGAAGGGCCCTCTCAGGTCTGAATCCCTGGAGACCAGGCCACTGTGGGACCACCCTGGCCAAATTCATGGGAACGGCACCACCTCAGAGTAGTGGGTCTCTTACCTTTGGAAAGCCAGTTGTGCAAGAGATTAGGAATAAACTATTCTGAGCATTTTCACAGGCCTCACCAAAGCAGTACATTAGAGGAGGTCAAATGGCTGCCCTTCCCTGCATGACCACGTTTTTCCTGGTATCCTCCACTTTGGCACATATTGTTTTTGCAGGTAAGGAAACATAGGTCTTGGGAGAGAAACATCTGGTTTTCTTTTACTTTGTAGGAAAGAATGAATCAATTTTCACTGGATTGAAAAAGTTTTGTTGAAACATAGGCCTTTGGGCTTGGTAACACAAGCTGGATGTCAACTGGCTATCGCTGTTAGAAAGGGAGTTACTGTGGAAAATCCTTCACTATGTCAAAAGTTAATAACATACTACTACATAACCCATGGGTCAAGAGAAATCAAAAGGCCAATTTAAAACTATTTTGAATATGACGAAAATGAAACAAAATGAACAGAAGTTCAGATTCAAAGACATGTCACTGCCTCCATACCAGTTTCCTTCCCCTGCAGGCCCACCATCACCCTGTATGTAACCCACCTTACTGGTCTCTGATGTAGCTTTTCTGTTCTTTTGTTCAAATAAACATGCATATGAACATTTTGTTATGTTACTCTTCCTACTCTCTTACATAAAAGATAACATACTACAGGCACCTGTTTGCATCTTGCTTTTCTGAATTTACAAATGTCCTGAAAATTAGTATGTTATCAGCTCACAGGGATTTCCTCATTCTTTTACACAATTGTACAAAACCTCATCAGACAGATGTACCTAAGTATATTTAACCAGTCTTAAGTGAGCCAGAAGGAGAAAAATACCATATGATATCACTCATACGTGGAATCTAAAAAAGAAGACACCAATGAACTCATCTACAAAATAGAAAACAGACCTGCAGACATA